GTGTACAGGGTCTTGGCGAGAGGGTCTGGGGTGGGACTTAGCGGCTTGGGGCGTGTGTGGTGGTTTGGGGTTCTGGTGTTTCTTCCCATCTTGGCATCGAATCCGTTCGGTAGGGTTTTGGGGTTAGGCCCGACAGGGTTGATCACAGCAGCCTGGTGCAAGGCGAGGGGTGTTGGGTGGGCTTTGGGTCAAGAGCCTTCGAAACCCTGAATCCTACTAAGCCCCAAGCCCGCAAAGCCCCGAAACCCCAAACCCCCCCCAAAACTTCAACCCTATGCTTGTAGCCCCCGATTTCCCTGATCCCTAAACCCCTAAGGCCGCCTAAACCCCTTAAACCCCAAGCTGGCGAGAGCGCGGCTGACCGTAAAAAGCACCTCCCCAAAACGTTGGGTTTCCTAGGGCCTTGCAAGCCTCTGAGCCCCCTGAAGCCGTAGGTCTCGGGGCTCTCTTGGCTTTTGTAGGGCTAAGCCCTCCATGAGTTTTGGACTGACTCCCTCTCGAACCCTGCGGCCTGCAGCTGAGTTCCTAACCTAGAACCCTCAACCCTACACCCGAACCTTAAACCCTACACCCGAAACCCTAAACCCTAAACCCTAAACCCTACACGCGAAACCCTAAACCCTAAACCCTCAACCCTAACCCCTAAACCCTAAACCCCTAAATACCTAAACCCTAAACCCCAAGCCTAAACCCCGACGCCCCAGTGCAGGTCTGTCCGACCCGGCTCCGCGGCGTTGTCAATGCGGCCATGGCTGTGGCTTTCTGCTGTGGCTTGGATCGGGATTAGGGTTTAGGGTTTAGGGTTTAGGGTTTAGGGTTCAGGGTTTAGGGTTTAGGGTTCAGGGCTCAGGGTTTAGGGTTTAGGGTTTAGGGTCGGGTTTTAATATAGGGGCTTGAATAATTAGAAGAGGGTTTTGGGGGTTATTATGGTATAATGTTAAAGGGACCCCAAGGCAATACTAGTAATTATTGTTCTGACCCCTATACTACGCACTCTGAACCTCAAGCAGCCCCCAAAACCCCAAATCATAAGCCCGAACCGACGTTCAGGGGATAGTTTGTGGTTAAAGAGCCGAGATACCCCGCAAGCCCCAAGTCCTAATTAAATGAAACCCTGAGGGTGCAATTTGGTGTGGGCTTGGGCCTCCTCGTAAGAGGGGATTGCACAGCGAGAAACGAGCCCAGAGTCCATACCCCAAAACTACAACTTTATTAAAAACTACCAAGGGTTCAGAGCTTAGGAGTAGTCCTCAAAACTAAACCCTAGACCCTACACCCTAAGCCCTAAACCCTACACCTTAAACCCTTAACCCGAAACCCTAACATATGAATTGGGGTCTTTTCTGGAGCCTCTCCTAAGCTTCGCAGCAGCAGGTGGGGAGGTCTGGTCCGCTCTGGGATTCCGCCTCATGCTCCCGGACCGCCATCCGTTTTGGGGCTTGGGATTTTTTGGACTTCGGGTTTAGGGTTTAGGGTTCAGGGTTTCGGGTTTAGGGTTTAGGGCTTAGGATTTTCAACATGGGCGTGATGAACCCCACAAACCTCAACAGCCCTCAAGTTTGGAGCTGCTTACAGCTCGGGGCTGAGGGGGGCTTGCAGGTTCAGGGCCGTGGGGGTGGCGTCCCTTGGTTCAACCGAACCCTGAACCCTGAACCCTGAACCCTGAACCCTGAAACCCCAAACCCCAAACCCGAATTCCTAAACCCTAGACCCTAAACCCTAAACCCTAAGCCCTAAACCCTAAACCCTAAACCCTAAACCCTAAACCCTAAACCCTAAACCCTAAACCCTAAACCCTAAACCCTAAACGCGCAGGAGCTCATCGGGCCTGGCTGGAGGGCGATGCTGCTTTGGATCGGCGTGCCTCCGCTGCCGGGCGTTATCAGCTATCAGGAGGACATCCTGTAGGGTTTAGGGTTTAGGGTTTAGGGTTTAGGGTTTAGGGTTTAGGGTTTAGGGTTTAGGGTTTAGGGTTTAGGGTGCAGCATTGGGCTGCTGAACGCCGTAGTGTGCAGACCTGCCCGCCCCAAAACCTGCCAACCCCTACTCAAAACGAACCAAACAGGCCCGCCGAACCCTAAACCCTAAACCCTAAACCCTCAAGCCCCCAGTAACTTGAAATTATTAAGAAGATCCAAAAAACGAAATTCCTCGAAACTCCCCGAAACTCCTCGAAACTTTCCCCGGACCTGAACCCTTAATCATTTCAATAAACCCTAAACCCTAAACCCTAAACCCTAAACCCTAAACCCTAAACCCTAAATCCTAAACCGCGGAGCCAGCCGAACCTTCAACCTTTCAAGCCGAAGTCACATGCCTCCGCATAGGACACCGTGCTTCGGGCTGAGCTTATAAGCTTCCTCTCTCGGGTGCCTACGTATAAACACGCCTTGTGAAGACCATGAGAAGCTTGTGCAGCTCACATCCTAGGCCCTTCTATAGGGGTGGGAATAGAAACTAGTAGTATTCCCTTATGGTCGCTATATGACTGTACTCCAATGGCCCCCAAAGCCCACAGCTCCAAAACCCTCTTCGGGTTTTTTAGGCCCCTATTGAGCCCTGAACCCTAAACCTGAACCCTGAACCCTGAACCCTGAACCCTGAACCCTAAACCCTAAGCCCTAAACCCCAAACCCTCAACCCTCAACCCTAAACCCTCAACCCTGCACCCTCCTAAACCCTAAACCCTGCCGAGGCTGGTCCTCCTCTGCTTAGGCTTCCTGAGCCCAGTGACTCGCTTTGCGGCTCGGCCCTCGACCCAAAACCCTCGGCTGTTTAGGGTTTAGGGTTTAGGGTTTAGGAACTTGAGAAGTAAGTTTTCGGCACAAAACATATCAGTTCCAGACCTCAGCTCCTGCAGGTTTGAGGGTTTCGAGTGCGGCTTAATCCCCCCCCAAACCCCTAAACCCTAGACTCTAGGCCCTAAACCCTAAGTCTTGAACCCTAAGCCTTGCATGGGAAAACCCTAGGTTTCTACCGGACAAGAACTCCTAGACGAAGAGCGTGCATGTAAGCCTAAGATGCATGATTCGGTGGACTTTGATGTGTTTCGCGCATGCCATACTTACGGAGGTGGAAGCCCAAAACTCCCAACAACCCCCTAATCCCTGAAAAGGGGGCGTCTTTTTTGAAGCCTTCAAACCCAAAAAACCCCAAGCGCCCTGATCCCTAGAGGGGCCCGAAGCCTCATCACTAAAAGGTCGAGGAAACCTAAACTCCTCAAGACAGTCCTTAAAAGGTGTCGAGGTGGAGTCAGAAACAGAGAGACCTTCCGACACGCCCGAGCTCCTTATTCCCCGAATCCCCAAAACGTCGAGGTGCATTCAGAAACCCAGCAATCTTAAGAACACACCCGGGCCCCTAAAAGCCCTAAGCCCTAAGCCCCTTCTGACGTGGAGTCACACACCCCGAGCCCCAAAGCTAGAAGATCACCCGACAAAGCGAGAACGTCACGGGCCGAAACTTACGAGTTCCCTAAACCCGAAACCCGAAACCCGAAGCCCTAAACCCGAAGCCCTAAACCCAGAACACTAAACCCTAAACCCTAAACCCCAAACCGGGTGGGGCCAAGGACACCCCCCACTTTCTCAACTCCCGCGGCCGGCGGCAAGAGCTCGGGCAGGCCGTGAGACCGGGAGTTCTTGTTGTTGAGACTTCAGCATTTAAGTTAGCACAATCGGGTTTAGGGCTCAGGGTTTAGGGTTTAGGGTTTAGGGTTTAGCGTTTAGGGTGTAGGGTTGAGGGCTTATGCTTTAGGGATTGGGGGTTGGGGGGGGGGGTATCTTCCGTAAGATAGCATCGTGTATTCTTGGTTTTTTTTGTGGGTTCAGGAGGTTTTTCATGGTTTAGGGCTTTGCTTATAGTTGCTTTCTACTTCAAGGGGTTCCCAAGGGTCCCCAAACTCAGTTGATGATTATTTGGAGGTTCATGGTTGGTTACTCATAAGTAGGGTTAGAAGTAAAGTCCACATAATATGGTTATAGCCGATTCGAACCATTTTTACTTCCAGACACTCTTCATGTTTATGGGTTCAGGGGATTTGTTAGGTTTAAGGTTTGGGTGCACGGTGATTTTGCAAGCATTTTCATGGGCTTCACAAAGCAATTTTTATGGTTTGGGGTTCAGGGCTCTTGTAAACAGTGTCCCGGTGGGTTTAAAGGTCTTTCTGGCTGAAAGTTTAGGCAGTTTAGAGTGCAGTTCTGCTGGACCACAAGGTTTGTAGGTAGGATAGGGGCTCCTGTTCCAGGAGGGGTCGAGCGATTTTTAAGGCTTCGGAAGTGTTCTTCAGGAGTTATAGGTGGGAGGTTTTTGGTGCTTCAGGTTCTTTAGAGGAGCAGTTGTGTAGCCCTCAGCCCTCAGCCCTGAGCCCTCAGCCCTCAGCCCCAAGCCCTAAACTTTGGGGAGTTGTAGGCAACCTCCAAGCCAGCAACGGGCGTTTGCAAGGCCATGCAGCTCATGGCGGCCATGAACCACCGGGAGGTGGGCTTGGGGTTTATCAGGGTTTGGGGTCTCGGGTTTAGGTTATACGGTTTAGGGTTCAGGGGAGCTCTTCAGCATAAGAACCGCGACGTAGGAGACCCAAGCAGCCCTCGGTTTAGGCCCTACTTAAGCCATTCTCCCTCTCCAGCTTGAAGGTTGGGCTTCGGAGTTGTTGGCTTCTGGGGTGTTGGGTGTCGGGGGAGGGGCTCAGAGGCCTCCAAAGCGGGGGCTTCGGGGTTTAGGGCTCTGAAGGTTGAGGGTGGTCCTGAATCCTAAATTCGAAACCCTAAACCCTAAACCCTAAACCCTAAACCCTAAACCCTAAACCCTAAACCCTGAACCCTGAACCCTGAACCCTGAACCCTGAACCCTGAACCCTGAACCCTGAGGGTTGAGGGTTTGGAGGCCTTGCCGCTGTGGACGGGCTGATGGTAGTAATCGAAATAGTAGTAACAGTAGTGGTCACAACAGTAATGTTGGTAGTCGTAGGAAGAATTATGGCAGTAACCGAAATAGCAGTCATGATTCAGGTTTCGGGCTCAGGGTCTGTCGAGCACTTGGAACTCGTGTGTTGGTTGCCGTGGCGCTTGGGTGCGGGCAAGACGCTTGTCTCTGACCTCGAGATCTTGAGTCCGCTTGTCTGAAGCAACTAACTTCCGAATGCGAGAGCGCGCTCGCAAGCGGATGGACGTGGGGCCAGAGCCCACCTTGCCCTCCGACATTCTTACTGTTGGTTAGTAGGGAATGAGGGACCCTATAGACACCATATGCCCCTTTGTATACCCTTTGAGGGATTATAAAGGGCACCTCATTCTTCCATTCCCTGCGAAGCAACAGTCCCCTATAGTATCAGCCTACCGATACCGCTGGGACGATGACCAGCACCTCACGGAGTTTAAGCAAAGCCTGAAACCCTAAATCAGCAACAAATGCCCTCAACCCCCAAAACCAAGCCCTAAACCCGAACCAACACTGCTTCGAGGGAGGGCCTCTGACGAAGGCTAGAGGGAGCCAGCGCCTCACAGCCCAACAGTCGCTCCAAAAGTCCGAAGACATAATTTCGAGAGGGCGACACCCCATACTGTACATTTGGGGGGGGGTTTTCCACACACAGGGCTAGCCCTTTTGGGGTGGTCCCTTCTTGAATGGATGGTCGGTTTGTTTTTGGGGGCACATAAGAGGGGCACGGAGATGCGCGTCAGTTCGGAACTGCAAGGTGGGGGAGGGTTCTACGGTTAATACACCCGAAACCCTAAACCCCAAACCCTAAACCCCAAACCCTAAGCCCTAAACCCTAAACCCTGAACCCTGGGGGGCTCATGGGCAGGTCCCCGTATCGAACCTGGCTGACAGCGGGCAGGACGGCGAGGTCCCGAGGGTTGCTTCCCGAGTTCGGGCCGACCCTGCTGGGGTGCAAGGGCTTCTGTGCCCTAAACCCGAAACCCTAAACCCTAAACCCTAAACCCTAAACCCTAAACCCTAAACCCTAGATTCTAAACCCGAAGCCCCAAGAAAATTTGGAAGTCCGCAAAATCCACCCAAAAGAAAGTTTGGAAGTCGGCAAAATCCCCCCCCAAAACTCCTCAACTATTCCGAAGCACCTTACTATAACCCCACTTCCTGGGAAGCCGAACCAGGCCTGCCCACTGAGCATAGCGCTTTGGAGTTTTGGGGTTTAGGGTTTAGGGTGCAGGGTTTAGGGGTTGAATTAAAGGGTCCAGGCATGTTGTGGTTTTAGGGTAGAGCGCTTCGGGGGATTCTGGGGCACCCTGAGCCAGACATGGGAAGAGGCTGGGCTGAGAAGTTTTCGTCATACCCCTACAAAACTTTGTCATGGTTGGGTGCCATTTTACATTTTTAAGGGTACTTAAACCCTACAAGGAATACGCATTTAAACTGTAAATGTTATCCCAACCATGAACTAGAAAACCCAAAGCCCCAAAGCGCGAAAGCCACCTAGTGCCCCCCTTAAGGGACCTTTGGATGTTGGGGTTTGGGATTTAGGGCTTGTGGTGTCCTGCTTCTCCTGCGCCTGCAGATTCTGGGGATCTCCGCCGCTGGGCTGAACTGCCATGTCTGAAGGTGCTGCCGTGTTGGTTTAAGGGTTTTCGGGGCTTAGGCCTCTATGCTGCCAGGGCTTTGGGTGTCTGTGCAGCCGGAGACCTGCCGGAATTCCAAACCTCGAAGCTCCTCAAAGCCCCCTCAACCCTAACCCCTCAACCCTAAACCCTATATAAACCCTGAACCCTCAGCAAGATCCCTGAGCCCCAGAAACACCCAAAAGTCCAAAACCCGAACCCAGAAACCTTCAAAGTCCCCAAGCCCCTGCACCCCTTCAAGCCCTGAGCCCTGTATGAACCCCAACCAAGCATGAAAAAGAAAAGGTTTAGCATTTTGGGTTTAAGGACTTAGGGTCCACTGCTTCAGAAGATACGACTTGCTGGGTCATGGCTCGGTATTCGGGGGTTTAGGGTTTAGGGTTTAGGGTTTAGGGTTTAAGATGCACGGGCGGCTTTCCGGTCGCGAAAGAAATAGAAAGTGACAGAGGGGGTGGGGCCACAACCCGAGACCTGAAACCCCGAAGTCCCTGATCCTACCCTACCCTACACCCGAACTCCCCCATGTTCCTACGCTCATAGTTGCTTAAGAAACAAAAACGGAAAACAATAACACAGTCTTCCTCACAAGGGGAATATGGGGCTTATTCTCTTTCATTTCTGTGGGTGGTTCTGAAGCAAACGGTAGTAAGCCCTACCTTGCGGAATATCCGAAACCCATCCCTCCAACTGAGTCAGCACTTGCTAGTCACTAGCAGCTAGTGGGAGTCTCCCAGGCTCGGTCGGTCTTGGGCTTGTAAGGGCTTCGGGGGGGCAGAGGCGGGGGGAGGGGGTTGCGTGTCTTGCGGTCGGGGCCTGGGTTGGAGGGATTTAGGAATCTGGCCAAGCCCTAAACCCTAAATTCTAAACCCTAAGCCCTAAACCCTAAACACCGCACTGAGGAAGCTCTCGCGTCCCTGGCGACTCGGAAGCAATCGCTGGGCGTGCTGGCGCTCTCTGTGCGGGCGCCCGGAGGACAGGTGGTTTGGGGTTTAGGGTTTAGGGTTTGGGGTTTAGGGTTTAGGGTTTAGCCCTAAGCCATAAACCCTAAGCCCTCTCAACCTTTCAGGGTCTAGAGGGTTCAGGGCTGGACGTTTAGGGTCTTTAGTTTAAGTTCGTTAGTTGATGGGCATCTCTGGGTAAGTTGCCCTAGAGGAGGGTGCACCCCCCGAAGTATCTTTCTACTACTTTAGGCCTTCGATCCTTGGATTTAGCCCCTCCAGAAAAATTGGAGGACCCCATCAAGAAAGTGGGCCTTCGGTGTGATAGCCCAGAGAGGAATGCAGGTGTGGCCATCCTTGTGTGCTGAGCTCCTGGAAGAGTACTTCAGCATGACCGGTTCGCTGGGTTTTCGGGGGTCTAGGGTTTAGGTGGCCCAGCTCCGGTTTAGGGTTTAGGGTTTAGGCTTTAGGGTTTAGGGTTTAGCGTCCCCTCTGCCTCCCCGCTTCCGCAAAAGCACGTGAGGTCATGTTCTTTGTGAAGGATTTGGCCTTCTACGGCATGGGTCGGGCCCCAAGTGCACGCAACGTCATCTACACCTCATGCAAGTCCAGCGAATGACCTTTTTGGGGGGTTTAGGGTTTAGGGTTTAGTATTTAGAGTTTAGGGTTTAGAGTTTTGGGTTTAGGGGTTGTGCTTTGGGACGGTGGTTGCAAGGGAACCTATTCATGACTTTCATGAACACTTGTAAAAAGCTGATGCACCCCTTTGAGCCACCGCAACGCAGCCGCAAAGTCCTCAAGCGCCTCAAGCCGTCAACCCTCTGATGCCGAGGTCTTTTTCGGTGCCTAGCAGTACTAACTTTTACCTTTCGGGGTAAAGCCACGGGCCCTCATCTTCAATGCAATCAAGGAGTAATCCCCTCGCTGAATACTAATCATGGCCCCGCCCCCCCCCCCCGCCTATCCCTAATACTGAATGTTTTAAATATTCCCTACACACTACAACATATCTATAGTGGGAGTATTTAGAAGAACGGATGAACCAATTCTCCAGCTGAGGAAACTTCTGGCCCCTGGCGTGGCGAAAAACGAACAAGCTGGCCGGCACCAGCCCCGCCACGGTGGGCCGCACCTAGGGCTTTTCAAGGTTTCAAGGAATTTTTGAGGGTTTTTTGAGGGTCTTGGATTGTTTGGAGTGTGTTCTTGATGACGGTTCAAGTGCTGTGGGTGGAACCCTTGAACCCTAAGCCCTAACCCCCCCCTCCTGAGCTCGAGCCCCAACCCACAGCCCACAACCTCCCCCCCCCCCCACCACCCTAAAGCCCAAGCCTGGAACCCCACACGGCTGACTTCTCCTAAACCCTAAACCCTAACTAAACCCTAAACCCTAAACCCAAAACCCTAAACCCTAAACCCTAAACCCTAAACCCTAAACCCTGGACCCTAAACCCTAAACCCTAAACCTAAACCCTAGACCCTAAACCCTAGACCCTAAACCTTAAACCCTAAACCTTAAACCCTAAACCCTAAACCCTAAACCCTAAGCCCTAAGCCTAAAACCCAAACTCTCCCCTTTACCCATCATCGACAGGAGCTCCTGGCCACTGCTGGGCTGGGTCTGCCGGGCGTCGCCGTGGCCATGCTGCTGATCTTCTCCCTGCCCAGGCCCGTAAACGTCCTAAACCCTAAGGCTTAGGGTTTAGGGTTTAGGGTTTAGGGTTTTAGGGTTTAGGGAACCCCAAACCCTAAACTTACAGTGATGGGCTTGAGGGCTGAAGGTGCAGGACTCGGCTGCGGAGCCTAAGCGGGGCCATTTGTGAAGATGATATACTGGGGTGAGGGATCCGAGCATCAGGTAGCCTGTTTTGGGGCAAGCTTTCTTGGGAGACAGAAGAACCCTTATGTCATCGCAAATGTTAGCCATCAATTCCCTTACGAACCGGGTAGGCAAGCCCACCTGCAACTCCCCAAACCCTAAACTGAGAGTCGCAGGGAGGGGTGCGTGAGGGTTGTGTTCAGGTGGTTTAGGGCTAAGTGCGGTTCAGGGCTTAAATGTTTAGGGTTGAGGTTTTGGGGCCCTTTGAAGGCGCTTTGCCTTCACCATGTCCGCCGTCCTCTGCGCCTTTGGCGTCTATGCCGTGCATGGCATCCTGGACAAGGCCCCGGGAATCAGTTGACCGAGCTTTTCGTCTCGTAAGGGTTTGATGCTATTTTTCTGCACAGAACTCAAGGGGATATTGAACATACTGTTTTCGATCTTTTTTTCGATGTGGTTCACTCAGGCAACCTGCCATATTATACGGCTTAGGGTGCACAGACCCAAACCAGAGGGTTGAGGGTGGGTTTAGGGTTTAGGGCTTCAGGTTTAGGGTTTAGTAAAGCCCTCGTTCCAGCTTCAAAACAGGAGATGTCCCTGGGCTTGCGCCGTGCCTGCAACGAACATGTTGGCGGACCGTCAGAGTTTGTGTTCGAAGGTTTCGGCCCGAAGTGTCCTTTATTCCTTCAGGTTTGAAATGTCTCAAGATGCTTTGAACTCTAAACCCTGAACCCTAAACCCTGAACCCTAAACCCTAAACCAAACCCTGAACCCTAAACCCTTTTGAGCCTCCGGAACTGCCACGTGCTCACCGGCCCTGAACGGCCCAGACAGTGAGGTTTCGGCTTTGGGGCTTAGGGTTTTGTGGTCAAAGGTTCTGAGACCTGAAGTTGAGTGTCGGGTTGCACTGCAGCCAGCTATATACCTCGGGCTAGGCTAGCTGCCCCTCCGTGTTTTATGTTGTCGCACGGGCGCTGGCAGACCGCAAAGGGGCAGACATTTCCTTCTGTGTAAGCCCTTGCATGTGTGAAACCAAGCCTTCTCGAAAACAAAGAAGTTCCTTGCACAACCTCGCCTCAAGTTCTTGAAAAAAACAGCTTGCCTCCATATAAAAGAGAAGCCGATGAATCTGATGTAGAAAATGTTGCGCTGCCAAGGGTGGGCGTGGTGTTCTTCAAGCTCTTCTATCCCACCGCGCAGATGACGACCTTCCTCCTGCCCTCAGAGGCCAGTTGCCTGGGGCCGTTTAGGTTGGCCTAGGGTTTTGGGTTTAGGGTGTGTTACGTTCTGGGTTGCTCGCTGGGCTCCAGGGCCTCACCTTATTTTTTCCAATTGGCCCCTCAGCCCGGGTCGCTCGCAACATCGCGTGGCGGTAAGCCCACCCCAAGCCACCCAGCATATTTATTTTTAGGGTTTAGTTCCTAAAGTCTAGTTTTGTTTTTTCCAGCGGGGGCCTGCAGAACCACTGTGCACGCTGTTTCCGCACTGTCCCGATTTGAGCCTCGCCGCAAAGAGATGGAGTTTGGCAGCGCTCCCTTCGCCAACAAAATCGGGCGTGCTTCTTTGTCTCACCCTCGACCGGGCCAGCGTCCCGACGTGCTTATTTCGATTTCAGTTTAGTGTGAAGAGGTTCAGAAATGGTATGGGACAAACCCGAAAAGGTCGGAAACGGTCTGGGCAAGCTCAAAAAGCTCAGAAATGGTCCTGAAACAGCTCAGAACTGGTCTGGAAGAAGCCCCAAAGCTGGTTTGGGAGAAGCCCAAAAGGTCCAAAAAAATGGTCTCGGAGAAGTTCAAAAAAGGCTCAGAAATGGTCTGGGAGAAGCCCAGAAAGCTCAGAAATGGTCTGGAGACGCCCAACAAGGCTCAGCCCCAGAAGGCTCTGGAAATGCCCAAAATGTGGGGGGGGGGGGGGTGGGCAGGGTGCACCAGCAATTCTCTTGGGGGGGACCAGGGTGCACCGGCAATTCTTGGGGGGGCGGGGGTGCACCGGCAATTTGTCCTCACCAGCAATTGTCTTGGGGGGGCCGGCAATTGTTTTTTAAAGAGGGTCAGGGTGCACCGGCAATTGTCTTATTTATTTTTGACACTCAAAGGCTCGACCGCCTTGACGGCAAGTGTGGGCCTTACCTTGCCTTGGAGCGTCCAGCAGCCCCGGTCGCACGTTCAGTGCTCTCAGGTCGCTCGCGAAGCTCGGACAGCTTCGGGCTCTCAAGTGTTGGTAGCAAGCCCTCAGCAGGACTTTAGGGTTTAGGGTTTAGGGTTTGGAGTTTAGGGTTTGGAGTTTGAGGTTTGGGGTTTGGGGTTCGGGGTTTAGAAAGTTTAGGGGTTCAGGGGTTTTGGGGGGTTTCAAGCGATTGAGGCGTCTCAGGGGCTTGGAAGGATTAGGGGATTTGCGTTTTTGGCGTTGAGTTCAGGGCCGTGGGGTCGAGGGTCCCTGAACCTTATGCCCTGGAGCTACTAAAGACTCTGGAATCTAGTGCAATTTCTCACTCACAGGGTACGACCCAAAGGTGAATCCGTGAGCTAAGCCACAGATGAAGGAAGAGCCTCCCGGGACGCCCTTGCTAGGTGGGTTTGTGGTTTAGGGTTTCGGGTTTAGGGTTTGGGTTTAGGGTTTAAAGGGGGTTCAGGACCCTAACCTGAATTGATGACAGTTTGGGGGAGTGCATCTCTGCTTCTACCAGAGCGGCACACCTGGTGCAGGGACGCTGATTCAAAGTTTGCGAGTCCCCAAGCCCCAAACCCTATAAACCGCAGGTCTTCACCACTCAGATCCGCGTCTGGAGCATGTCCATCATCGCCTTCTGCGGGCGCATGGCCCCCTTGGCCGGGCCCTCTTTGCCAGCTGTGGGGTTCTTCAAAGTTTAGGGTTTAGGGGACTGAAGGGTTCCGGGGTTTGAGGAAAACATGTCTGCAAAATAGACATCGCGACTGGGGAATTTTGTTGCTTCAAACCCAGCTAACTCACTTCCCGGGTTAGTTGGAGGGCGCTTCGGGGGCTTTGGGGGCTTGCAGGGCTCCTGAACCCTAAGCCCGAAACGCCCCAAATCACAGGGGTTTTTGGGTTTTTTTGAGCACTGGAGCCCCAAACTGCATCACGTTGACCAAGATGTTCCAGAACAGATACATTCAAGATGCAAAAGCCCTACCTCAAGTCCCCAAGTCCCAAGCAACGCTGAACCCCAAAAACCTTCAACCTTCCTCAAACCCCCGACTCAACAGCCGCCCCCCCCCCCCTATTCAGGCGGTGCCCTTGCTCATCCACAGCTCCACCCACCTCTTCCTCTATTTGACCATGGGGCTGCTCCTGGGCGTAAGACCTGGTAGGGTTCAGGGCTGCGGGTGTCTGATTGTTTCTTCAGGGTTCCGGTTAGTGAACGTAAACTAACATACCATAATCAGGATACTATATATGATGGATATAGCAGCCTATTGTGGTAACTCTAGTTAAGGTCCTTAACAAGAGCCCAGCTTCTAAGAAGTGAGCTTAGCTGTTTGAATAACGAGATTGACTGGGGAATATCGGCTCTAGGGCCTTTCGGCCCTTTAGGGCCTTTAGGGGTTTCGTCAGGTTTTGGGAGCCGGGGCTTCCGTGAGATTTTTTGGGGGGGTCAGGCCGTGATGCGGGGATCGGACGGGCTTTGGGTTTGGGTCGTGTATGGTCGTGTTTAGGGTCTTTAGGGTCTTTAGGGTCTTCAGGGTCTTCAGGGTCTTTAGGGTCTTGAGGGTCTTGAGGGTCTCTAGGGTCTTAGAGTGTGTAGGGTTGTCGAGTGTGCAGGGTTGAGGTTTTATAGAGCTTGGGTGCCAGGACCTCTGCCACCAAGAAGCTGGATCATCCCTCGAGCCCGAGCTCGCAGCCCAAAGACCCCTCAAGACCTTCAGACCTGCAACGCCTCGCAAGGCACGAAGCTCCGAAGCCCCGAGCTGAAACGCTAGATCGGAATTCCCATAGAAAACCTAAATAAATCCCAAAAAAAAGGCCCCAATAAGGTCCAAGAAGCCTAAACCCTAAACCCTACAGCCGATGAGCTTGGCTCAGAGGCTCCTCCTCTCTGCCCTGCTGGTGTGGTACTTGCCAGAGACCAAGGTGCCGCGGGGGCTTAGGGTTGCCGATCTTTTCCCGTAGTTGGGATAGGGGCCAAGTATAGAAGACCCTGTCGCCCTCTGGATAGGGCCCATACCCTTTATCTCTGAACCCTCTCAAACCCCAAGCCCTAAGAAATCCGCTGGCTCTTCACCGCGCGTAGACTCCCACCATGCACTCCTCAAAGCCCTTCTAGCCCCAAGCGCTAAACTCAACGTAAGCGCGTGGCCTCAAAGTTTTTGGGGCTGTGGAGAGTTCGGACCCCCAAGTGCGGGGTTTCTTTCTTGGACCACCCTGGGAAGGGAACCCCCTGAACCCTTGAGCCCATGACAAGCACCCGACGAATCCCTTAGCCCCTGCGAGGATGTGGAACTCATCGAAGTTCCCCAGGGCCGCCCCCTTGCCGCGAAGGCGCGCGGGGTTTTGGGGAGGGAGGAGGGGCGTGGGAGAGGGGGGATCATATCTTCACAGCTGTCGCTCTCTTCATCTTCTCCAAGCTTTATGGACCAAGATGGGCCCCTGGGTTTCAGGGCCAGTCGATCACACTCCAGAGAGAAGGATGTGGAACTCACTGCCTTTGGGTTCAGGGTTCAGGGTTCAGGGTTTTGAATGGTTCTTGAGTACATGGAAGGCCACGTGTGTGATTGAAGAAAGCACTCTCTCCCCGAGCCTCAGCCCTAAACCTAACCCCTTTGCGCAGCTTACCCCCCTCTACCCCGGCCAGGATGCCCCGTCCTACGGAGCGGCTGCGCCGCCGGTGCCGGTGCGCAGCCCGAAACCCTGAAGCGCCTAAAGCCCCAATGCCTTCAGGGCTGCGTAGCTGCTTCTGTCAAGAGGGGGGCTCCGAAGCGCACAGAGGCTTTGGGAGCCTCCGGAAAACAGAGCGCCCCAAGACCCCTTAACACGAAGGAACAGCAGCCTACCATCACGAATCAGGGTTTTGGGGGTTCAGGGCTTCAGGGATCCCAACCCTAAACCCTAAACCCTAAACCCTAAACCCTAAACCCTAAACCCTAAACCCTAAACCCTAAACCCTAAACCCTAAACCCTCAACCCTGAACCCTAAACCCTAAACCCTGAACCCTAAACCCTAAACCCTAAACCCTAAACCCTAAACCCTAAACCCCTGTCAGAGTTTGAGGGCTACGCCTTGGTTAAGGGGCTTGAGCTCCTCCCCTAGGATTTAGGGTTCCCGCTTTAGCCCAAACCCCAAGTCCGGGAGGAGATTCCGCGAGCTGCGGTTTAGGCTCTAGGGTTTAGGGTTTAGGGAGGGCTTTAGGGTTAAGGTTCGCATCCTTGCTCGCAGGCGGTGGCAGGCTGAGAAGCGCGCCCTGCAGTGGGAGCTTCGCGATGTGCAGGGCTGGGGGTTTAGGGGTATTGCGCCACGAATCCTAAGCCCGAAGCAAACCCTAAACCCGAAACCCTAAACCCGAAACCAAACCGAATCTCGGAGTTTCAGGCTTTCTGCGTGCTATGATGCACCCTACTGCAACTGCACTCTGGCGATTCTGGAGCACTGTGGAGAAAGAGGGCTGACGTTGCAGCGCTCAAAGGACCCCTCAACTGCAAGCTGTACACCCAAGCCCTTGAAAATTCCACGTGTATATATATATATATATATATATATATATATGAATATAAATAAAAAAACAAATACAAATATAAATATAAATACAAATATAAATATAAATGTAAATATAAATATAAATAAATCAAAATAAATATAAATAAATATAAATAAATATAAATAAATATGAATAAATATAAATAAATATAAATAAATATAAATAAATATAAATAAATATAAATAAATATAAATAAATATAAATAAATAGAAATAAATAAATGTGTGTGTGTGTGCGCCCGCGCGCCGCGTTCCCAGTGCCGCGCACCCCTGCACGTCCAACATCTGTAAGCCCTGAGGCCTTTAGCCTAGAACCTAAACCCTCAAGCCCCAAATAAAGCCCGAAACCGACACCCGAAACCCAAAGCCCTAAACCCTAAACCCGAAATCCCTAAAAACTCTCATCCTGGGATGAAAAGGAGCTCTTCTTAGGAATCTGTTATCACAAGCCCGAACAGCCAAAAACCCAAACACCCAAACGCCCAAAACCCTAAGCCCCAAACCCAAAGAAGGGATGCGATTGTGGTCGCCAGCTCCCAAAAATTCATGGATGGAAGGTCCACAGTGGTATCAGCTGCTTGGACTTGCCCTAAGCCCTAAACCCTAAACCCTGAACCCTAGAACCCTCGGTGCTCCCTTGCCGCCGGAGCAGGTGAGCCCCCGATAGAACCAAGCCCTGATTTGGGGTTTAGGGTTTAGGTTGGGCGGCATTTTCCAGCTTGCGGGTTTGAGGGGCAATTTTGGGGTATAGGGGTCGGAATAGGACTATAATGACCCCCCCCTCCCCCCAAAGCCCTCTTTTTACTTCGAGGGGCCGCTTCGCTAGGGTGCTGGGGCGTTTGGAGCCTCCATGGTACTGCCGGGTAGGCAAACACACGCGTCAACACACACACACACACACATGTCTAGTGTCTTGCTGTCTTGAGAAGGCGTGCTTCCCTTGTATTTTTCCGAAGGTTGATGAAGGGTTCGCCCGAAGACCAGCAGCACCTTCTGAGATTCCGCCGTAGGGATGTTCTTGAACCTCAAAGTATGGACATGCTTTTTTTTGGGCGGAGGCTAGGAATTGGGATCCCGAAGTCTTGATCTTCCCTTAAGTGGCCACTTGCAAGTTTTGTGGGGTGCACGCTCTAGAGCCTAGCCGGCATCTGGTTTGTGATCTAGGACCTGCTCTTTAAGGAATGCTTCTAGGCACACTCTGCCACAGTCTGCATTCGGGTTCGTGGGTCCTATCTTATTTTTTTAAGGGTTCTCGTTTGTTGCGCTAGCGTTGTCAAGATTGCCTCAATCTGTTTGGATGACGTGGAGTCGTGGAGGGTAGGTTACGCCACAAAATGGCCGCAGAACCCACTAAGCCGCTGAGCAATCACGAGGTCTAATGGTCTATGCGACTAGAGAGTCGAGGGCTTGCAGCTGTCGGGGCGCACTCATGCTGAAGTTGTGACCGCGTAAAGGTAGTTGGCCTAGAAGCGCTATGGTTCTTGCACGGCGCGTGACTTTATCAGCAACTGAGTTCCGGGGTCGGGGTGGGGGTTGGGGGGGGCTGCATCGCATGAGTGCAGCAGTCTTCCGCATCTAGCGCAGTGTCTCGGTAGTAGAAGCCATGTGCAGCCGAACGGCCTGCTTGTGCTGGGTGTGAGTGTTCAGTGTTCAACCAGGTCTTTCTAGCGTCTGTGTGTGTGTGTGTGTGTGTGTGCGCGTGTGTGTGCGCGTGCTTGGACGTAGTAGGCTTTGGGGTGGGCACGGTGATGTGCCACAGTTTCCCGCACCGCCTCTCCGGCTCAGCCCTTGAATACCGAGGGCTTGATGTAGTTTAAAATACGCAGCGCCAGTGTAGCTGCAGCGCTCTGGGCGTAAGACTTGGCACATGAGTTTCAATGTCGGATAAAAAAACTTGAAGCCCGCCTGCGCAAAACGTCAGCCTACGCTTTACAATCAACATGTGAGTGTCGACAGCGATGTGGTAATTCTATAAAGGCCTACTCTTCAATCCATTGTGAGCGATGGCGGCAGCGCCCTCGCCAACAACGGCATCCAAAGCAGCGTGTGCTCTTTTAGGCCAGTGAGTTCGCTCGAAGGGTTTTCGGCATGCTTAACCAGGGACCTAAGCAAAAGCCGACATGCCAGCTCAGCTTGTTTGCCATGCAAAAGCATTAAGCTTCAGGGTCGGTTGAAGGATGCGGGTGTCGGTTCGACATATCTTTCATCGTCCTTCCAGGTTTGTGTTGCGCGCCGGCTCGGGCGTGCGGGTTCCGCCTGGGCGCAGCATTCATGTTGGGTCCACATCGCACTATGACTTAGGTGTGGGTGTGGCGCGGGATTGGGGGGGGGGGGTTGGCATTTCATAGTAAAACGCCAAATTTTCGGCGAAATCGTACTGCTTGGGTCCCGTATGCATTCCGTGGCCCAAGCCGCGTTCCCACCTCAACCCGACCCCAAAAGCCTAACATCAGAACTTTCCGTCCTCGCAGGCCGGAAGAGTCAGAATGGCATGGAACTTCTGACAAAACAGCCCAAGACCCTGAGCCCGAAGTTGTAAAACCCAAAAAACGCTCTAGACCCTGAGTTGTGGGTGCCAGGTAGCCCGGCCAAGGCAGCCCCAGCACCAGGAGGCGCGACGGAAATCGAGAGGTTTAGGACTACGAACGGTTCAGGGTTTAAAGATTTTGCAGGGGCCACAAAGCGCAGTTTCCGTAGGGGGGGGGGGGTGGCAGGCTTGAGAAAAACCGACGTGGAGCTTAGATCTTCGAAGCGTGTTGCTTTCCTGGTGCCCAGCAACTGCTGACGCGCTCATGGCCTTCGTGGTTGCTAGGTGGAACCCTAAGCCCTGAACCACATGCAAGTTGGACCTCAAGCCCAACTCTCAGCTGCTTGAATGTAGCACCGCCAAACAGGTTGATAGAGTTCAAATTTGTGTTTAAAGTTTAGGGGTTTTGCCGCAACTCACCTTCCGACCATAGCCCCAAACCCCGACACACCCCAAAGCCATCCAAAATCGCTTGAAGTTTAAAGCCCTTGTAGTGCTTAAGCCCCTAAAAGCCCTACACCTTGCAAGTTCCTAGAGAGCCCAAGCCCACAAAAACCTTCGATCCTGACCCTGATCCCTACAACCTCAACAAATCCTTCTCAACCGCTCAGGTGCCCAGAGCGCCCTAAACCTGTTGGGGTCCTCCCCGGTGGCTGCAGCGCCAGCGGGCTATGGGCACCTTGGGCCGGATTTTTGAAGGTCAAGGGGGGAGGGAGTTGGGGTTTCGTGTTCAAAAGGCTTCGGGTGAGGTGAGGAGGGTGGGGGTTCAGGTGAACCCAGGCCTCTGGCCCCAAACCCTCAAACTCGAGCTCCAACCCTTTTGTTTCGTAGTAGACTTGATTCAACCCTGAACCGAGATTCGCTTTCGCAGGTCTGCCAAAGTCCCTGCTGTCCCGGCAGCTGTGGCTGTGGCGAAGGCGTCCCCTGCCTCCACGGTGTCCTCGGCGCTGAGTGGCTCTGCTCGCACTTCGCTGAGGGTTTTGGCTGCTTAAGGTAGACACATCGCTGTTGGGGCTTTGTGGCTCAGGTGTCTTGGACTCCACGCAGTCCACACTTCCCAAGGCCACTCTGTCTTCCTCCACCGCCGCCCTAGCTGTCTTGGGGAAGGCCCCGACCGCAGCCAGCCCATCGGCGGTTCCCGGTGCGCCCGCCACACCCACTGCGCCCGCTGTACCGGTCGGCCCCGCAGTGCCCGTGGCTGCCAAGGTGCCCACAGCAGCAGCTTCGGCGCTGCAAGTGCTAGGTGGTAAGGCTACCGTCCCCCCCGCACCTGCACCTGCACCTGCACCTGCCAGTCCCCCTGCGCCCAGCGCTGCTGCAGCACCAGCTGCGGGCACGAGCGCTGCCAGCGCTGCCTTGGCTGTGCTTGGCTCCTCGGCACCTGCTCCGAGCGCGTCCCCGGCCAGCGCGGCCCTAGCCGTGCTGGGCACAACACCGGCAGCGACGCCTGCGACAGCTGCCGCCGTGAGCCAGCCAGGCCAGATTGTCTCCAAATCTCACATTCCGAGCTTACCCAACCCGAACCCTCCAAGTATTACTGGAGCCCACATTGCCAACTCACTAAGTAATTTTAACGCTACGCGACCCGCCTCGGCCCGGCCCAGCGCATCCGCGTGCCTATACACCTCCGGCCCGAGGCCTCGGCGGATCATTCCTGACTTCGTACCAAAAAAGCTACGCACCCAAATACACATTCGAGTTTTTGTAGGCCCCCCCTAGAGCTAGACAAGTCCAGGGCCAGGCTCATTTTG